CAGTAGTATAAAACAAAAGCACAGTGTAATAAAATGGAAGACACTTCAACCGTTGTACTGGGTTGCCATGTGCACAATTTTGTATTTGTATTCTTATTATTAGCACTGTAGATGACATTGATAATAGCTGTGGTCAGTTACCCGCTAATCAAGCATTTTCTTCAGGTTGTTAAACTGTTACACTCAAATTTACGCCCTTTTACCAGACGTGAGTTTGATCCTACAGATATTCCAAAGATACATTTTTGGTGCTGTTGTGTCTCAAACAAGCTGGTGCTCTTCCTCCACTAACATCTAACACTAAGCTATATCTATCGATTCAGAGTCTTTCCAGTGAGAATCGTGATCTAAATTTTGATCATTTTTCCAGCCGGAAAACACACAGATGGGCACTCCAGTACCTAAAGCATCTAAAGTAACTTTATTCAGCTTTACTGCTGCACAAACACACAGAAAGACATTTTCCACAAGACACGCAAACTTGACACATTCATAATTTACACATCCGCATCACAGACAGACTCCAACTGTAACGTTATGTACAAGAAGAAAACACATGATGGTGTAATGTGACTTTTATATGGTCAATAATATTTTCTGCTACAAATACAAGATGATAAATGTCTCATTTTTAAAGTTAGAGCCTCAACTGTAAGGCCCAAATCTCATTACACACCATTTGATAAAGATGTGTGCTGTCTGGGGGTCATTCTATGAAAAGTGGACACTTTGCTTCCTCAAACATTTGGAGTAGTTTGTGATGCTCCGCCTACACGTGGACCGTCTGATATCTAGTGCACAGTGTCGCGAGGCTGGATGTCGTCTCGGAACAGGAACGTTTAGGGACAACCATGAGAAAGTTCGGGCTAAATGTGGGAGGGAATAAACAGAGTGAAATTTATTAACCAATCAAACTGAGAGCTCAAAGTAGGGGGCGCTGGTGTGCTTATCAACATTGTTGATCAGCATAGCTAGAAAGTTCCCTAAAAAAACCCAGTTTTTACTTTCATATGTGGGCCTAGATCGGATACGTATCCGATTCGTGGCCGTGCGACCTTAATGTGACACTCAGATCAGAATTCACGTGTTTTATCCCACTGCGCTGCGCCATCATTCAGTGTTACCATGGCAGCAGCGCCGAACAGAAGTTAAAGCCTGTAAACGGTGGAAAAGCAGCTCATCTCACCTTTTTCTCTTCGTCTCGCTCTAATAATGAAGCTGAGAGCTGATCAGAGTTAATGATCTTCTCAGCGAAGCTCGTTCTGCTCGTTAGTTTGTGCTGATGATGAACGTGATTCATTCACGTGACGTTACTGAGTAGGATGAGCGCATGAGGGTCGTTTCAGGACGCCGGTTCGTCACATTAATGACAGATTTGAATCACTTACCTAAACGAGTGTGAACCAACCTGTCAGAGAGATCGGATCTGAGCAAAAAATCGGATTTGAGCAACGAGGCTTGTTATGTGAACATAGCCAAAGTGGCTCAGGTCGGATTTAAAAAGATCAGATTTGCGTCCCCACAGCTCTGAAAACATCAGATCTGAGTCACATTAGGGCAAAAAATCACATTTGTGCCACTTCAGCCTGGTAATGTGACTGTATCAATCATATGTGGTTCTAGATTGGATACCTATCTGATTCAAGCTTATTTTTTATTTATCTCAAATTCTGCTGTTGATTTCAGCTTTTCACAACAAAAGAGAAGAACTTTGCATTTAGAAGCACGAATACTGCTTTGATTAGACCATTCTCTTGGAGATCTTCCATCAGAAGTTGCATAAATGGTCCTGGGAGACAAATCAATGATCAATAAAATCAGTAATCATCAAAGCAAATGATCTCTAAATGCATTTGTAGAAACATGTTGTTTTTCACCTCAAATTGTGAAAGACTGTCCTCATTATTTGAAAAAAAGTCCTATTTTGGTAGAATGACCCCCATATGAACCTTCACTTCGTTAAAACTGTCTGAAATAATGTACGTTAATAAACGTTAATGTAAATTGGCTTAAAAACATGTATTAGGTCATGTAAGTACTCATCCGCCACTGACGTGTATGCGGTCGTGTCCTATATGATCAAAACAAGCTCTAAGATGCTACATATGATAGATGTGATCAGAACAGACAACAGTGCAGCACCACAATTCATACACATACATTCAATAAATGTCAGGCTAGACTTTTCATTGCAAAACTAGACAGAAAGAAAACAGAAATATTTTGAAACCGTTTGAAATGTAACTATATAAACAGCAGTGCTAATAAAATCATATTGCATGAGCTGCTGGTAAGCTGTGCTCCCTTTACGCAGGGAAATCTATATACAGTTGTGCGACTGGAGCCGTATAAACACCATATACATACAATATGCTCCCTGGAAGGCAAGACTGTGCTGCGTATGGGTGTAAATGTGCATCATCTGAAGGTAGTGATTCACCTGCCACCGATTTTGGAATGTTAGAAATGACTGTAATAATATTCAGTAAAGTAAAGCCCTAATTTTTTGGCTAAAATAAAAAATATCAGGCTATAACAATCCAATAAACTCATAAAAGCTTGTTTTCCAAATACTGTGTAAATAGTTTCTCCAGTTACATATGTGCATTCAGTGTATTTCAAAGGGGAACTCCACTGATTTTTTAAAAATTTCAGCATAATTGAGAGTTTGAGATGTAAACAGAGAGATTCAGAGTGATTTGGTGTGAAACGGTTCAGATGTCTTTACAGTGGTGGTGATAGGAACCAGGTGTCGCCATGACTACAACACTAATATAGACATTTTATTTACTATCCAAATTAATTTTACATGTAGTGTTGTTAAAACATTCAGTCCAAAAAATAAGCTTTCTCTGGGGACTATTTTGCCTTACATGTGCATCACTGTCCAAAATTTATAATATAAAACCATTTTTTAATAAAGATTCTTGTACAGTTATATGCAAAAGTTTGTACACCCCTGGTCAACTTACATGTTTTTTTCAATTTTCTATGTGATTTAACACATCCTCCACGGAGTCACAGCATAATGTAGCTGTCCAAATAAATCAAGTGTTTTCAAAATGGTAACTTTACAGTAGAGGGCAAAAATGTTCTTACTTTCAATGTAAGTTACTGTAAAGAGATTTTATTCAAAGCAGTTTTGGAGCATTTCTGTTGGTCCATTCATCATGAAATTTTCACACAATGTAAAGGACGCCTGCTGAAAAGTTACGCAGAAATCTAAAAAATCACAAAAAAATTGGCGATACTTTTTTTTTGGACAGCGACAATAAAATTTTCACAAATTGTAATGCACAATATCTTTTATTTGCTGAGTTTAACATATTGAAAAAAAAAACACAAAGTATTAAATGTGCTATAACTTTTGCACAGGCCACATTTTATGTTCTTTTTTTCCCCCAATATGTTAAACTCACAGTAACTGTGTATTAAAGTGTGTCTCTGTAGATGATGTGTAACTTATTTACACTCAGAACATCAACAAAACGTCATTTTACCAAAGGTGCCCACATTTTTTTGTGAATGTATAAAATTAATCTGGTACATTAAAAATATAAGACTTATGCATTGGAAGATTTATTGGAAGCTGTAAAAATTAAGAAATGTTTGATGATGAACGGAGCTGAAGATGATCCCATTAGATGATTAATTGAGAAAGTTTCACAGCTCAAAAAATGAACTTCTTAAATTATTATTCAGAACGTCTCATTTTGAAAAGCAGTGACCAACTGATTAAAAAGCTGTTTACAGTAATTTTATATCAAGAAATTACAAATTAAATTATTACTGAATGACAATTATTTTGTGAGAAAAAACACATTTTAAGCTAAATGCCTAGTGCGTTTACATGCACTTAATAATCCGATAACTGCAGAAAATCTGATTTTGTCAGTAATCTGATCAACATGTTTACACACACTTGAGTAATCAGATGACGGGGAAACTCCGGGTCTACAAGAGTCAGGCAGTAATCAGATTTCTGCTTTAAACCAGCCAATAAACTCACAGAAGACGTGATGTAAACGTAGCGTAAAACTCATGACACTTCTTGTTTAAACATCTCCCCACTTTACCTGAAAATATGAACATAAATCACCTAGAGGATGAAGAATATTCAAATCCTTTATTTCGTGTTTGGTTTCAGCATCGCTCCAACAGTGTTTTGCTGCGTCTTGCAGCGACGCTGCTTGCTTATTTCCGGTGCCGCGGTCTGATCTCGCGCATGCACGGACTGAGAAATCCGAAAGAAATCAGAAAGAAATCAGTTTACACTGAGAAATCTGATTACTGAGCTAAAATCCAGCCTCTTTATTGGATTTCTTCATTGGAGTACGGTGTTTACATGACCATTTGATCGGATTATTGAGTGCATGTAAACGCACTCAATATCTCAGACATTCAGAACCATAACCATGGTATTCATAACCATTTCATGTAGTAACTTTCTGTGAGGGAGCTTTTAGAGGTGGACGTCTGGTTCCTATCACCACCACTGTAAACAGTTCTGACTCGGTAAGTTTCTCTAAAACAAAGCGTTTCACGCCAAACCACTCTGAACCGCTCTGATTGCATCTTAACCATTAAATTATGCAGAAATTTAGAAAAATCAGTGGACTTTCCCTTTAACAGTAATTCTGAAATTGTGACATTTGAGATTTCCTGAAGAATCCTAAAAAATCTAATCGAATCGTTATGAGGTCACTGATTGATTGACCCCCAAAAAATAATAGTAAACTGCAGTCCGGACCCCCGGTGAAGCCCACATCTGTTAAACTGACAGATGAACCATTACAATACATTGAGGATGATTTATGACTGAATATAATGAGGGTGATTAATGACTGAACATCTGTTATCTGTCACTTAAATAGACATTAATGGTAAACATTTTTAGCTAATAATGCTAATAACTCGTGAACTATGACCATAAACTACCTCTAATGATTCTGATGGAGCAAAACTGCATGTAGTGAAATATGTCGGCACTGATCTCCCAACAACAGGCAGGTCTTTTAAAGGAGCAGTCCACTGAAAATACGAAAGATATTTCAAGAAATACGCTGCCCATCAAAAGTTTGGGGACTAGTTTTTCATACTGTTTCACACAAATGATGATGTTTTCACTGTCGGTCACCACATTAAAGCCTAATCAGGTATAATTAGAGGGAAATAATATCAAAGGTGTAAATATTTGTGCCAATATTAGTGACAGTGCTAGCTTGGGAATAAAGCCAAAGGCCACGCCCACTTTATCCCCTTGTTGTGATGTCAGCACTGAAAGATTTCAGGTGTTTAAACCACATTTGGACCAAAAGAGCTTCAACATGAGTTTTTAACAACAGTTTGAAAAACAAAACTGTCAAATAATTATGGGTCTTTCTCCCTTTGGAGGGGAAACCATGTCATAAAGGTTTCAGGGCTTAAAAAGATGCTTAAAATATGATGCACAGCTCCAAAAGTCAGTATGTACATTTACACAGTTGCCCTAAGATCAAATAACACTTTTCCCTTATGATTCTCTGATTTTTTCTTTTTTATCCTATTTCATCGTCGCTCTGCATCTGTAAAACAGCTCCTCACAAAACCAATCATCAACATTTGGGAAACCATTTTTAATATAAAACAATATTTTAAGATGCTACAAAATGCTACATTTAAAAACATGTTTTTTATTTTAAAAATGCATTTGTCACAGAGATTGTGGTCACTGGTTCTATCAGGACTCTTATTTTACATTTTAACCCAGTATTTTCAGCTCTATTAAACTGCTTCTTTGGGTCGAGGCTCATCAGAGAGGAAGCGTCTCAAGGCCTGAGAAGTCGAGTCACACTCGCTGACTATATTTCATTAATTTATTAATAATTTTGTTTATCAGGCAGCTCAGAACTTCTATGTGTCACTGGTGTTTTGTGCTTTAATGGCTGGGTAAGTAAAATTCTGTGAAAATAATGCCAAATATATCATTTTTATTACTGATTTTAAATTGTTACACAAGGTCACCTGACCAACAACGAGTCAGCCAATTTACAGAATCCTCAGTTTTAACCAGAATGTCTTACACCATATTCATACAACACCAGTGACTGTACAATATGTTTGGAACTGAGCTCCTTTCTGCATATATGATAATAGGAGATGTTAATGGACATATTAAGATTATTTAGTTTTGGGTTGAAAGAAATTGATTTTTTATAAATGTATCCACCTGAATTCCCACTCCAGAAGGAGAATGACCCTTATTTATTATTCAGACAAAAACCTGCTCTTCATACCGAGGAGGACGCTCGGATGATCATAAAGCTGAATGTAGGTTAATATACACTCCTGTGCAAATAAATGGCAAACATTAAACTCTTAGGTCTTAACATATCATTAATAAATGGATAAAGTTGGTTAGTATGGATTTTTTTCATGTTGATTTCTTTAAATGTTGTAGTTTTGTGTGTAAACAGAAAAGAAGAGTCAGTATTGATCCACTCAGCACTGATGGCTTCAGACAGCTGAAAAACATTTCCAGGCTAGTTTGCCTTTAATATGAGACTAAATATTTTCTATAGGGTTCAAATCTGGACCCTGACCAGCCAAAACCATCAGCAAAAACCATTATGTTTTGGGTTTGGCCCATTTTTTTGCCCAGGAGTGTACGCTTCAGCACGGAACCGCTTTATGACCAACTAAACCTTGTAAGTTTTCTTACTTCACTGAAAGGTTCCAGTGAGAAGATTCAAATTTAGGCCGAAAAACCTTTGACGGGCCGCCTACATCAGGAAGTATAATGAGTAACACCCCTTTCTGTGTGTCCAGTGTGGCTGTTTAAATGCTTTGGTCCAGGGCAAACAGCAGCTCCTCCCCCTGCAGCAGATTTTGACGTCCAGCTACAGGTGCGTTGACCTCGCAGTCGTAGCGGGTCAGCTGGGGCAGAGGCACAGGGAGTGTCCTGCCTTCAGAAGGTCCAGCCAGCAACTGGTTTAACACATCTGAAGGACAACAGAGTGGAAAAGAGAAAGACAACACAGTTTAACGCTTCCTGGGAAACCAGAGATGTGCTGACTAGCCAGCTCCAGTTTAGCAATGTGGACAATAGGAGTGTTTATTGAGGTCGTTTATGGACTAATATCTCCTATTCTAGTGTATAGAAGTGTTTATTGAGGTCGTTCATGGACTAATATCTCCTATTCTAGTGTATAGAAGTGTTTATTGAGGTTGTTTGTGCACTAATATCTCCTATTTTAGTGTATAGGAGCATTTATTGAGGCCATTTATGGACGAATATCTCCTATTCTAGTGTATAGAAGTGTTTATTGAGGTCGTTCATGGACTAATATCTCCTATTCTAGTGTATAGAAGTGTTTATTGAGGTCGTTTATGGACTAATATCTCCTATTCTAGTGTATAGAAGTGTTTATTGAGGGTATCTATGGACGAATATCTCCTATTCTAGTGTATAGAAGTGTTTATTGAGGTTGTTTGTGCACTAATATTTCCTATTTTAGTGTATAGAAGTGTTTATTTAGGGAAACTATGGATTAATATCTCCTATTCTAGAGTATAGAAGTGTTTATTGAGGTTGTCTATGGACTAATATCTCCTATTCTGTTCATAGGAGCGTTTATTGAGGGCGTCTATGGACTAATATCTTCTATTCTAGTTCATAGGAGAGTTTATTGAGGTTATCTACGGACTGATATCTCCTATTCTAGCTCATAGTAGTGTTTGAATGCTCTAGCTTTATTCACTGACGTTACGCTGAATCTGGCGATAGAGCTTTAATACTGCACCTTTGAAACTTCATGTTGCTGTTCATGCAAAACACAAAACACCTACCAGAGGGCAGCAGCAGTATAGTGACGGACTCCGGCACAGTGGACTGTGAAACAGCCTCCAATCCTGCAACCTCCGACTTCCTGACCCTTTTACCTGCTCCAGGTAAGTCGCTGACCACCTGCAGCACAGAGCCCTGGGAGAAAGACACTGTCATTAACTCACTGATGTTTACCATCTAGATAAACTCATGAATATATAATATATTTGATCACATATATATGTAGGTTATTCTAATAAATCATTATTAAACGCAGTTTAACAGAAACAAGAGTTCATCAGCAGTGATACGAGCAATAATGATCATATGAGTGGCACAAAAATCAAGGGTAACATTTCAGGTGAAGGGTACCTACATTGAGACTCCGTAACACAGGCATAAACATTGAAAAATGTATTTTAAAATCAATACATGAGTATTTATGTACAGCTTATGTCAGTGTTTGCAAGATGACATGAAATACACTGATCAGGCATAACATTCTGACCACCTCCTTGTTTCTACGCTCATTGTCCATTTTATCAGCTCCACTTACTATATAGGAGCACTTTGTAGTTCTACAGTTACAGACTGTAGTCCATCTGTTTCTCTGATACTTTGTTAGCCCCCTTTTACCCTGTTCTTCAGTGGTCAGGACCCCAATGGACCCTCACAGAGCAGGTACTATTTGGGTGGTGGGTCATTCTCAGCACTGCAGTAACACTGACGTGGTGGTGGTGTGTTAGTGTGTGTTGTGCTGGTACGAGTGGATCAGACACAGCAGTGCTGCTGGAGTTTCTTTTTTTTTGTGAATAAACTAAATTACCTTAATAACATCACTCTATGTCTCACTCTTGGTTCTTCAAGGGTTCTTTAGTAAAGACAGTGGTCCTATATAGAACCATGGTCACTTCTGCATGCTTAAATGGTTCTTTGCATGGTAAAATCGTTCTTTAGATTGATTGAAAATATGCTGCATATGGTTCTACAAAGCATCAAAAAGGGTTCTGCTATTGTTACTGATATCAAGCTTGTAAAAATAGAAGAATCTTTTTGGTGCTATATAGAACCATTTTCAAAAGGGTTCTATACAGAAACATATACAGCACGTTCTCCATCAGTCTGAAGAACCATTTCACCATGGAAAGAACCATGCAAATCGTCCTTTGAGTGTTCATGGTTCCATATAGAACCACTGTCTTCACTAAAGAAGCCGTCTTTTTAAAGTGTGTAATAAATAAATAGGTAACACTGTAGATGCTTTGCAGATGCTCAGTTTGTCTTTAAGTAACAATCAACTAAATATCTATTAAATGCAACTGACTTTGAAGTTGAGTGTGAGAGATTCTGTTAAACCTAAACCTAAACCTAACCCTAATCTCAACTTCAGCTCTAAACCTATATCTACTCCTAAACCTAACCTTAACCATAATGTTACAACACAAAGTTTAAGTATCTGTAGATCATCTACAGGGGAGCATCACAATAAAGTGATGTCAGTCAGTCAATCAATCAATCAATCAATACCTGATAAGTGAGATTAAGAATAGTTTTTGTTCTCTTTCTGCAACACAATTTGTTTCCTTTTTGTTTTGTGAATAAACAAAATTACCTTTAATAACATAATTTTACGTCTCACTCTTGGTTCTTCAAGGGTTCTTCAGTAAAGACAGTGGTCCTATATAGAACCATGGTCACTCAAAGAACCTTCTGCATGCTTAAATGGTTCTTTGCATGGTAAAATCGTTCTTTAGATTGATTGAAAATGTGTTGCATATGGTTCTACATAGCACCAAAAAGGGTTCTTCTATTGTTACAAGCTTGACATCACAACAATAGCAAGAACCCTTTTCAAAAGGATCCTATACAGAACCATCTAGACATTCTCCATCAATCTGAAGAACCTTTCACGATGCAAAAACCATTCAAGCATGAGTGTTCATGGTTCTACCTAGAACCTTACTAAAGAACCCTTTTAAAGAAATCTTTTCTAAGATGGTACAGAGTAACATTTTTTCTTCTGTTTTCTTTTAACAGGAACTGAGTAATAAAGCAAATACAGAAGTCCAAAAACATCCCATTTCAGCTGCAACAACAATCATGAATAATAATGTAAAACTAGAGGCCTAAGAACAGATAACAGTCTCCACTTATTCTGTTTATTTGTTCATACATATCCATTCATGATGTTTATATCTGCTGTGGACTGTTCCAAGTATTTGAGCCTCTTCTGGCCTTGTGGTCTGAGCCCCATTGAGCCCCCTTGGCAGTCAGAGGCCCCAGGACACTGGCCCTACTGGCCCGGCCGGTAATCCAACCCTGATTCCAGTAAACAGACCGTTCCAAGACCGTCATTTGCTTTTGGCAAAGTGTTCTTTGAAAAAGCGGCTGACCGTTACTGTTTGAGCAGTTTCTTTACAGACTTGCAGCCAAAATCCCAAAGAAAAAACAGCCCCAGACTCTGTGGTTTCCACCTCGGTGCTTTACAGCAGCCTTAGTGCAGTCTGGATACAAGGAGTCCAGCATCAGGCTGATGTTGTGCTGAATATAACTCTGTTAAACATTTTATAAAATAACCTGAAGGACTCTGTTCACGTTTATCAATCATTACATGGCTAAAAGTGCAGAAATGCTTCGAGGGGCCGCTGTAGGTGGCCTTCCAACACTCACACAATAATAAAGAACTGCGCTCACATACCAGCCCGATGGCCTGAGACAGAGAAATTGTTTCTAATTTCCTCTTCAGTGGCTTTTGGCTCGGCTGAGTCGCGGAGGAGAGATGTAAGTCTGGCTGACACGCCCTGGGAGAGAGAGAGAGAGAGAGAGAGAGAGAGAGAAAGATGGAGAGAGAGAGAGAGAGAGAGAGAGAGAGAGAGATGGAGAGAAAGGGTGGAGAGAGAGAGAGAGAGGGAGAGAAAGATGGAGAGAGATGGAGAGAAAGGGTGGAGAGAGAGAGAGTTGGAGAGAAAGGGTGGAGAGAGAGACAGCGAGAGAGAGAGAGTTGAAGAGAAAGGGTGGAGAGAGAGAGAGAAAGGGTAGAGAGAGAGAGAGATGGAGAGAAAGGGTGGAGAGAGACAGAGAGAGAGAGAGATGGAGAGAAAAGGTGGAGAGAGAGAGAAAGGGTGGAGAGAGAGATGGAGAGAAAGGGTGGAGAGAGAAAGATAGAGAGAAAGGGTAGAGAGAGAGAGAGAGAGAGATGGAGAGAAAGGGTGGGGTGAGAGAGAGAGAGAGAGAGAGATAGTTTAACGTTTGTCGTCCAACTTAGCAATAAAACTGCTCACATTTCACGCCTCTGTCTTTGCACCAGTAGTTCCATTTACTCAGTTCCATGTATGTAAAGGGGCAGTCCACCCTAAAACTAGCATTTGATATGTTATTTATTATGTTATGTAATATTCTGAAGATTGCAGAATTGCATCCCTCAGCCTCATCATAGTGTTGTCTCACTATAATACCCAGCATGCACTGCACACATACATCACACAGCCATTGGGAATCTTGCCGCAATAAGGAAATGCACTGATTTAGAGGCTAATAAATACAGACATTATATTCAGCTTCCTGGCAGTAACGTTAGCTATCTGGCTTCCTACTGCATTTGCCAACTCGCAGGAACAAATAATAAAAATAAATAAATAAATAAATAAATAAAAGTAATAGCAGCTTTATTTGTATAGCACCTTTTATACATGTGATGCTGCTCAAAGAGGCTTGAAATAAGAGATAATAAAATTATTTAAAATAAAATCACACAAGAACATCATAAAAGCAGCAAGAATATGAAAAAAGCAAGAAAAAATAAAATAAAAAATTAAAGGGAAAAATAAAAAGTAAGTAAAAACAGGAAGTTTATGAAAAACAAAGTGTGTAAAGATGTGTCTTTAGCTGCTTCTTAAAACCTGCTGTTGTCGGTCTGATATCAGTTTATAGATTGTTCCATTTTTTGGATGCCTAACAACAAAACTCTGCCTCATCACGTCTTTCCTTGTTGATGTTTGGTACAGTAAGAAGGTCTGCGGGGCCTCAGAGAGCCACTCTGGGTACAGTCCTCCTCATCTATTCGCCCCAAAGCGCTTACAGTTTTTCAAAAGTTCCTCCCATCTTCAAGATACATCATCAGAAGGTGTTATCAGTCATTAAACCGGAAAATCTCACCCTACACTCTCACAAATAAAGGTACTAAACTGTCGCTGGGTCAGTGCCCCTCCTGTCACTGGGGTGGAACCCTCAAGGGTCCATCTCAGTACCTTTAGTCAGGGAACATAACTGTACCATAATCCACTGAAATGATATGTTCTAAGCTGTACTGACTCCACACACCCCGTCTCGTCTCCAGGCTTTTATTTATACTGTTCTGTTTAAAACATTCGGTTATGAAAAGGTACAAATACGAACTTTTCACCTGGAAAAACTTATTTAAGGTTCACAATCAGACCTTAAAACCACTGTTGGAGCTTTGAGGGAACATCTACACTGTTTGTACCTTGATGAATGAAAAGTGTACCTGAACAGAACCTTCATTTCCAACAGTGTAAAGACACAACAGCAGCGCTGTAAGAGCAGAGTGGTCAACTTTACAGCAGCTGTAGCCATAGTTCCATTTTTCATGTTGGTCAGATTTTCCTCTTTAATGCACATTTTAATAGAATTGTAAAGGAAAATACTTTAATACTCAACTTTATGGTTCCATTTATAACAGAGAAGTGTAGGTGGAGTGTATTAAAAAAACCTTAGAGAAATATTTTTTAACCACAGAATCATCACTCTTAAACATACAGGCTCCTAAATGGCCCTTAGATCAGATGTACAGTTCTAGGAAAATCCTTTTAGTGTAGATGCTTTATCTTATGTATCTTATCTTACCCTCACACATCTCGTTTACAAAAATGGTTCTTAAACATCCACTGAAAGGTTCTGCAGGGAGCCATTATGGTTCTTATAAGGGCACCTTTATTTTTAAGAGTGGTGTGGACCAACTTTACTTCTACTTCACTAATTATTTCATTAAATAATAATACATAATTATACTTATAATACATTCCTAGTACACTCAATAAAGGTTCTTTTTGTAGCAACACTTTTGGTGAGTTGTTTACTTAAAGAGCTACAATGCAAAGAACGATTTAGGCCACAGGTCACAACCCAAATGTTAAGAAGAGCCATTTTGTCCTTTCAACAAAAACCACCTTGGGAGCCACAACATTTAATGTGCATTTTATTAAAGTAACATTTGCCATCTTGGCTGTAAATATGTCTCAGTATGTGTTAATGTACAAGTACAGACTAAAAATATAATATAAACGAAAACACAGACTTACTCTGCTCAGCTTTAAGCTTTAGCTCAGCTATAGCTGCTTTTCTCGCATCTCCGACAGGAAACTTTTCCTCAAAAGTAGAATATTTTCTTATAAAATGTCTCTCAATGTTTTACTTTTTACGAGTCTGAAGTCGCTTCTCATTCGCCAGCTTCTTGTTCCAATTTTCCCGTTCCACCTTAAATGGTGCAGCAGTTACATTCCGGTGCCACAGGCACCATTTAAGGTGGAACGGGAAAATTCAAACAATATGAATAGTGAATGAGAAGCTGAATTCAGCCTTGCGACTTATTTGACAGTTTCTCGTTGCGGGCGGCACGGTGGCGCCGTGGGTAGCGCTGTCACCTCACAGCAAGATTGGCCTGGGTTCAATTCCCAGCCGGGTGACCAGGGTCATTTCTGTGTGGAGTTTGTCTGTTCTCCCCGTGTCTGCGTGGGTTTCCTCCGGGTACTCTGGTTTCCTCCCACAGTCCAAAAACATGCAGTCAGGCTGATTGGACATGCTAAATTGCCCCTAGGTGTGACTGTGTATGTCTGTCTGTCTGCCCTGCGATGGACTGGCGACCTGTCCAGGTTGTATCCTGCCTTCCGCCCAATGACAGCTGGGATAGGCTCCCCCACCCCACCGCGACCCGGGAGGATAAGCGGTTTAGATGATGGAGTTTCTCGTTGCAGATTAAACGTATCAGGAACCAGCTGGAGTGATTATAAATGCAAAAAAGTCAATTATCAATGTTCATCTTAAATCTCTCTCTTTGCCGTTTTGTTAGCTACTAGCTAGGCGAGACTGTTGTCTGTGTTGCTATGGTGACCAGCAGTCTGCGCTGATCTTCAGGGTTAAAGGGTGAATTAGCAGTTCTACATTAACTCCAGAGTTTAAGACCATTTATTGTTAAACTGTGTTGAACGATCAGCAGAGCTTTATTTTACTGTAAAGGAGGATTATTTTATTTTTACCTACAGATCTGATTCTGCTGTGGAGACCCCTGATTAGGCATTCAGATAGCTCTTTAAGTTATCACAGACTTTACCAAAGAAACCTTAAAGAACCCTATTTCTCACCAGTGTGCTGGTTGAGACTCCTCTGCCCGTGCAAGGCTCTTACCTGCTGAAGCTCTGCTGTGGCTGTGCTGCTGTGAGCTGCTCTGAGGGTTTAGTGTTGGTGCCAGTGCTGCAGATCAGCATCTGTGTCTGGTTTGGTGAATCTTTCTGAGCTGATTTTGATGTTGGAACTGGGCTAACACGTCCAGACTGCATTGGAGAGTGACTGTGGAGCTGATAATCATCATCCATGGAGATGTAAGGAGCCAACATCTCCAGATCCAAGTCCTCCACCGCCTGGAAAAAAAACACACCGTGCAATAAGCACCAATTTTTTTAGACATTTATATCACAGTCTCTGTCTTGGTTTCAGAATCATTACACCCCTAACACACATTTAACATATGAATTATATGCAATATATAGATATACATTACAAATATGCCTACATAGTTTCTGGTACATTTGTTCTCACCACTCAAAATATCGCTTTGTATGTATATCATCACTTAAAAACTGGTGTATCTCCAGAATAGTGGCTTTTTAGAGGAGGAAGAAAAACTTAATAATGCTCAATATAAAAACCTCAGTTCCAAAAAAGTTGGGACAGTGTGTGAAATGCAAATAAGAACACAAATCATTGATTCGTATTAACACTTTGACCTCTATTTAAACAAAAGCTATACAAAAACAATATACATTCATAAAAAATTGATGGAACCGGGGCAGTTTAAAAAACATCTTCATCAGCTTATTCAATCACGCCGAGTTCTTTATGAGCTAGGTCGAGGCTTGCTACTTTGCCAAATACAGTTTAAGAAAACAACATTCCTCACTGAGCAACTGTAAAGATTTTAGGTGCAAAAAATCATCAAATGATTTAGAGAATCCAGAGAAATCTCTGTGCGTAAAATGCACATTAAATTAAAATTACTAAACAAATTAAATTAAGTACAGTGCACGTCAGAAGCCATATATTACTAACGTCCAAAAACACTGCCGACTTCTCTGGGCTTGAGCTCATCTGAGATGGACCGATGCTCAGCCTACCTTTCAGATTGTTTGAGGAAATAATGAGAAATTCGAGAACACAACGTCTAAAAGGACCATCCAGATTGTTTCAAGCATAAAGTTATCATTCATAGTGTGAGAGGTATTAGAGAGTAGCCTGCACATCTGTGAAAGCACCATTAATGCTGAAAGATATATACACGTCACAGCAACATATGCTGCCTTTTAGACGGCGTCTTTTTCAGGGCCTCCCATGCTTATTTCAACATGACATCACCAAGAAACATTCCACAAGTGCAAGTGTGATAGTATAGCTACGTGATCAGAGAATACGGGTGTGAAAATGTCCTGCATGTCTCCTATTAAAAACATGCGGTGCATTATAAAGCATGTTGTTGTCACTGTTGTCGGGATGAGGGTCTCTCCAAAACGATAACTTTAAAAGAGAAGAAAAAAATACTTTACTATTAATGTAAGTCAGTGGAAGCAGATGTTTTTCCAAGTCATGCTGGACTGTTTCTTTTGGACCATTCATCATGAAATTTACACACAATGTAAAGGGCAACAGGCTTTTTATGTCAAAAAAACAACAAAAAATGAAGATACAAGGTTTTGTTCAGACAGTAGCAATATAATACATCAGTGAAGACCCTGTACAGTTGCACATCTGTACACTTACATAACGGAAAAATGGCAAAAAATCCACAAACTGGATCAATTAAGACCCTCCAACGAAAAACCACATATTAACCATTCTACGTTTTTTTGGATTATGTTGTTTTGTTTCACATTTTATTTTGTCCTAACTTTTATGTTATAAAGCCAAACTATGCTTTATTTATATTTTAGTGACCCCTTTATTTTAAACACAGGACCTCCAAAAATGCCATAACATGCTTGATATGATTTTTACAAAAAATGTCATATATGTTGTTCTTCATCGCAAGTGCTCAGTTAGGGTGCACTCACACTATACCTGGTTGCCTTGTACCGTGTCCGAGCATGACTGTCCACTTCACGTTCTTCAGTAACGTGAGAACCAGACCCGGTATTAACCCAAATATACAAATAAAGTGAAAAGTAGGACAGTCGCATCGTTGACGTCATGTTGGAGCTCCATGCTCGACCATGGTCAGCGATCACACTAGATGCGTACTGTGCCTGAGTCTAACTGGTCAAACGAACTGGACTTTGGGGGTCAAATGAGCTCAGGCACGGTACGGACCACTTAGTGTGGATTCAGTCCTCAAATGATTCCTGAGTGCTGTTAAAAGCAAAGGTGAGGTAACACAGCGGTAAACAGACTCAGCTTTTTTGGAACATGTTGTTGGCACTGAATTAGGAACAGGTGTACGTTTACGTTTTTGGAATTGAGGTTTGTATGTTCATGCAATCAGATTTTATTCCAGGTCTTTCTGGACCGTTTCTAAATGACCGCTGGTGTGGTCAGTTTGAAAGGACAGTGAGGACCTGTGTGGCCAGGAGGGTTTTTGGCTCCGTTTCCATGGAAAACATCTCCTCCACTACGTCCACTTTGCACTGGTTGCTGAGATCAGAGGTCAATGAGCTAATGGGCTGGACAGAAAGAGAGAAACACACAAGCTTATGAAACAACTATCAGTGCTGATGAAGATGTTACAGCTCAGCTGAAACTGTAATAAACTGTTTGAGAACACAGACGACTGACTCACAGACCTGGATTAACCTTAAGCCCAAGAATGAATCACAACTGGCATGCAGTTTAGTTCAATACTAGGTCTAATCCACATCCGGGAAACCGGCCCACAGAGATTTAGATTTTAGATAAGGAGCAGTAGACGAGAACAATAATATACAGGACACCAGGGGCTTTCAACCTTTTCCACCTCAAGACCCAAATTTTTTTCACTATACACCGATCAGGCTTAACATTCTGACCACCTCCTTGTTTCTACGCTCATTGTCCATTTTATCAGCTCCACTTACTATATAGGTGCACTTTGTAGTTCTACAGTTACAGACTGTAGTCCATCTGTTTCTCTGATACCTTGTTAGCCCCCTTTTACCCTGTTCTTCAGTGGTCAGGACCCCCATGGACCCTCACAGAGCAGGTACTATTTGGGTGGTGGATCATTCTCAGCACTGCAGTAACACTGACATGGTGGTGGTGTGTTAGTGTGTGTTGTGCTGGTCTGAGTGGATCAGACACAGCAGTGCTGCTGGAGTTTTTGAACACCTCAGTGTCACTGCTGGACTGAGAATAGTCCACCAACCAAAAATATCCAGCCAACAGCGTCCTGTGGGCAGCACCCTGTGACCACTGATGAAGGACTAGAGGATGACCAACACAAACTGTGCAGCAGCAGATGAGCTATCGTCTCTGACCTTACATCTACAAGGTGGACTGACAAGGTAGGAGTGTCTAATAGAGTGGACAGTGAGTGGACACAGTGTTTAAAAAGTCCAGCCTGACCACTGAAGAACAGGGTAAAAGGGGGCTAACAAAGTATCAGAGAAACAGATGGACTACAGTCTGTAACTGTAGAACTACAAAGGGGTTGGGGACATTTAAAGAGGTTTAAAAGCTAAAGGTGTTCTACAGCAAACTGGTGGTCTCTGTTGAAAACCATTATGCCAATTACAATTAGAAAGCAAAACAATTAGGTTTTAATCCTAATGGTTTCTAATGGTCCTTTTTCAGCAGGGTGTTTTTTCAGTCCCAAGCCCACCCACTCCTGCAAGATTACATCCCGCTCACCGAAAGAATATCGGAATCATTCGTCCAGCTCCCGTCCAGCTCCCATCCGCAACCAAAACATCCCGCTCCCGCCTGCACAGTTCAGTCAAGGTCAACTGACATCCAATATCTGACACAGTCTATTCACAAACACATTATTCTCAGCCTTAATAACACGGCAGTCGTGGTCATCAGGCTCACTCTGAAGTAACTCCATTTATTCCCAGTAAACACAAAGCAGGAATTAAACCACCGAGCGGTTATTTTGGTTGTTCAAGTGATCTGCTGATTCACAATGACGTCATTTTAATTGTTCACTGTCATCATTTTAAATTGTTTACATGTAAGATTTAGTGATCATTATACTTTATTTAGGCTGTTCGTTCATTTGCAGAATTTCTCTTCAAGCGTTTCATCCCACTTCCGCCCACCCACTCCCACACACGACATCACACCACACGATATTGTGGCGGGTCCCGCAACAACTTTCATCACAATCATAACAGTCAACCTTAAAAAACCTGTAGTTGTGCAACTCCCTCGTACATACTGCCTTTAAACAGTACAGCCAAACTACAACAGCTGCTCTGGATGTCTGAAGTTAAAACATCGTGCAAACAGTTAAAATGTGATGAAACTGAATGTTGACAGTTTCTCGTTCTAACCTGAGTGGAGCTGCGAGTGGCTCCCCCTGCAGTGCTGGGGGTGTTTGATGACGGGAAGGTGAAGTCCTCCAACTGGAGCTGGGCAGTGGTGGAGTCGGAATGGTTTAGGATGGCACAGGGGGCTTCAGTGGGGGGTGAAAGGGGTGAAAGGGACAACAGATCACTGGTGGAGGGCAACATGACGTCACTGTAGAGGGGGACGTCTTTTAACACACTGACCTCTGTATCTGTAAAAGAGAGACAGCACAGGATTGTTAAAGGACGATTTCAAACTGATCTCTGTCTGCCACATCTGATCAACTAAAACAATCATCCCAACACGTTTCCCTGCACTTAGAAAACAACAGAAAAGACCAAAACACATTTACAACAGAGGACAATGGGCACTTGGCTTCAGCACTCGTCCATCAGCTTCTCTTCTAAGTGGCTTTTCTGTTCTGCATCAAACACTGTTGTCTGTGGTCATTTTTCATATGCTAGAGATGTGTCCAGTGAGTGGAAGCACAAAGTGGATGTTTCTAATAAAGTGGCCAGTGAGTGGAAGCACAAAGTGGGTGTTTCTAATAAAGTGTCCAGTGAGTGGAACCACAATGTAAATGTTTCTAATAAAGTGGCCAGTGAGTGGAAGCACAAAGTGGGTGTTTCTAATAAAGTGTCCAGTGAGTGGAAGCACAATGTAGATGTTTCTAATAAAGTGGCCAGTTAGTAGAAGCACAAGTTGGCTGTTTCTAATAAAGTGGTCAGCGAGTGAAAGCACAAGGTGGCTGTTTCTAATAAAGTGGCCAGAGTGGAAGCACAAGGTAGGTGTTTTTAATAAAGTGGCCAATTAATGGAAGCACACGGTGCCTGTTTCTAATAAAGTGGCCAGTTGATGGAAGCACAAGGCTGGTGTTTCTAATAAAGTGGCCAGTGAGTGGAAGCACAAGGTAGGTGTTTCTAATAAAGTGGCCAGTTAATGGAAGCACACGGCTGGTGTTTCTAATAAAGTGGCCAGTTAATGGAAGCACAAGGCTGGTGTTACTAATAAAGTGGCCAGTGAGTGAAAGCACAAGGTGGGTGTTTCTAATAAAGTGGCCAGTTAATGGAAGCACACGGCTGGTGTTTCTAATAAAGTGGCCAGTTAATGGAAGCACAAGGCTGGTGTTTCTAATAAAGTGGCCAGTGAGTGGAAGCACAATATCTTTACAAGTTAACTTTATGTGTTTACCTGTGCTGCTGAAGTGCAGCTGAGTTAGGGCCTCTGGCTCCCCCTTCAGGTCATCAAAGAGCACTGCAGTCTGCTCCTCTCTCTTACTGCTCGCCTCCTCTTTACTCTTCATTTTCTGTGAGCACTCCTGCTTTCCTCCCTCACTCTCTCTCTCTTCTTCCTCATCCTCCCTTTCCTGCTTTACCACTGCAGAGCCGGACTGGTGGACAGAGAGGACAAGTTCAGGCTCTTCAACTCCGCTGGAACGAACAAAGGGATGCACAGCTGAAGCACCAAACCAACATATGGTCTGTAATTCAAATGCATCAGTAAAATGAGCATAAAAAACATTTTCAATGTCGGCATAAAGATACATACAGTCCAGCACTAGTATTATGATATTAAAAGGTAGAGTTATTTAATCTCTATCTACTGTATCTGTATTGTATCATTGATTAGCACAGACAATAATGTCAGTGCACTTCTCTGAGCTCAGAAAAGAGCAGAAATCTCATTGACTCGAAACTCTCTTACAGTAGAAGCCAAAGGGCAGATGCTGCATTCTGTGCATAAACAATTTAAACATAGCGCAGAATCAAAATAATAAACATTACACTCAGTACAGGAGTTATGGATGTGCACAAGATCTTCAAGCACTCAGTCAACTGTTTGTGAAGTTTTTCAGAGGAATCCGGGCAGAGTTACAGTTTCTAGGCTATGAAGGACCAACTGGGTGAGCCAGTCTGCTACAGCGCCACCCTGAGGCAGAGCAGTGCTGCAGCTCTAGTTAGTTAAGAACACCAAAGACAGAAGCTGATTGTAGGGGAAGCAGATAAACAATGAGCTTCACTGAATCTGGATTTGAGTGTCTGACACTTAACCCAACGCACAGCATAACATCAGAATTGATCGATTTTGAGACATTCAGTAACTTCAACTTCACTGACCAGAATCGGTTCCTTCAGCGTTTTTACACCTTTTTTCACATGGAAGCTGCATATTATGTAAAACGAACACACAGTCGTGCAAAAATTTGGACAAATGATATTTATGTTGACTTTCTAAGTGAAAATAAGTGAACAAATCCTCTACAGAGAACAAACTTCTGCACATTTTAATACACTATTACTGTTACGACCCCACCCACATTAAATATAGCCTGGTTTATTTATTCCCAATATGATAAATAAGCAGTAATTGTGTGTTAAATTGTGCAGGAGTGTGTTCCCTACAGAGCATGTATTGATGTATTTACACTTAGACAGTCAACAAAAGCATGGAATTTGACCAGGAGCGCCCAAACTCTCATACGACTGCACACACATGCATATGTGTTGTGGTACCTGAGGACGTAGTTGACACAGACGACGCACTGCGGCTGAGAGTTTTTGTTGTTGTAAATCACCGTGGCCTGAGTCTCCACCCACACGAAGCCGCCCGTCTTCACCAGCATTCGGTACTGCCCGGTACACGCCTGACCTTTCACAAACACTGCAGACAAACAGACACACAGCTCCTTTTTAAAAGCAATAAGCTGCGAGAGGCCGTGCGTTACTGCAATTTTGTCACGGGGAAGGGTGTTGTTAGGCACGACATGAAGCGGAGCAAAACTCCCTTCCCCTGTGATAAAATCACTGTAACACACAGCCTCAAGTGGCTTATTGCTTTTATAAAATGGCCCCAAACATAAAATATGATAAAATACACAATTTTTAGAAAACAATTTAAGTTATTATTAATAATAATCAACATAAACAAGTATTCCGCCAAGAAATGTAGTTCCTTTAGAGTACGGTATCATTGCAAAGCAACCATGGACCGCTGAATGAGGAGAATGTTCGGTCGCCCATCACTGTACACTGCGGTCATTTCGTTATTTTTAATTTTTTTGTCGTATAACAGTGAACATATGAAAACACAGCACTGTTTAATGCAAATCCTTTGCTTTATAAGTACTTTTTGGTCACCAAATTACCACCGTGAGTCTTATTTAGCGCCAATCCACCCTCTTCTCACACTGAATCTCAAACGGCTCCCTGCTCCCTACATAGTGCAAAACATAGGAGTTTAAATACTGGATCCTGCAGCCCAACAGTGAATAATACAGCTAAGAAATGGTGATTTGGAACTCAGACACATCCACACTGGATAAATGATGCACTGTTTGGCTGCAGAGGCTAGAACTTCTAAACTTTCAAAGCTAGAACACTATTTAGGGAGTATGGAGCCGTTTGGGATTCAGTCTGGGTTTGATGCGACCTCTGAAACACAGAGATCTGAAGTGTGTAAAACATCCAAGTGACATTTTTAGACTTTTATACTATCGTTTTACAGTTAATCAGACCGTAAGTGCTTTAATTCAAGCCTGTGATATTAATGACGGAGCTGTTTAGGCTGTTGGCTCTTTTAGCCTGTTAGCTAGCTGACCAGCCCGGTTCTAGATAACAGCTAGAGTTGCCAGCCCCTCAGTTTAAACAAAAAATGGGTTCTTACTTCAACAATATACTCCGGTGGTCCATGCAGGCAGCATGAGAGTCAAATATTATTCCAACAGCACAAGGTTTTTTCGTGCGGTGGTGCAGTGATACACAGTTCAGTTGTTGTGAGGAGGTCACAGGTGTGCATATATCGTGGATTTCACCACAGCTTTGAATGCGGCTCAGCCAAACAGATTTAGGACCGTAACTATCCATTGTGTAATATATATTATTATATAATATATTGCACTGCATGACACGTTCTGTTTGATGTAGATTTGCAAA